GATAGTTGTTGGATAGTGGATACGAGTGCATCCGATCATATGAATGGTTCCTTGAATGCTTTTTCAACTTATGAGACATGTGATTGTAATATAAATGTCTCAATGGCCGATGGTGCAATCTCTTCCGCCATAGGTCAAGAAATAGTTTAATTATCGATTTACATTTGAAATATATCCTACATGTGCCTAAACTTAAATGCAAGTTGTTATATGTTAGTAAGTTGACTAAAGATATGAATTGCACCGTGACTTTTTTCCTTTCTCATTATGAATTTTAGGACCTATCTTCGGGGAAGATGATTGGCGATACGGAGGAGAAGAATGGTCTTTATTGGATAACGAGAATATGTTCTCCTTTTAGAAATAATTCATTTAATAAAGCCTTTTTTCTACTATTTCATAATCTAATTTAATCTTATGGCATAATCGTCTTGTACATCTTAGTTTTTCCTACCTCAAAAGCTTGTATTCTCATTTTTTTATCAATAAGAAAGGCATTTTGTTTCATTGTGAAAGTTGTATTCTTACTAAACAACCTCGAAATAACTATCTCCTACATGCTTATAAACCTTCCAAACCAGTTCAATTGATCTATAGTGACATTTGGGGACTAATTCGAATGCCCAACTTGTTAAGCACTCGATGGTTCATCACTTTCATAGATGACCTTACACGTGTTTGCGGGGTTTACCTTATGAAAGAAAAATATGAAGTTAGTAATATATTCAAACAATTTCATAAGCTTATCATGAATGTCTTTCAATCTTTTATCCATGTCCTTCGTATCGACAACGATTGAGAATATTTTTCAAATGAATTCACCCAATATCTTATTGAACATGGCATTTTCCATCAAAGCTCTCGAGGTTATACTCCTTGATAGAACGGGGTAGCTGAACAAAAAAATCGACACATGCTTAAGGTTGCTTGTTCAATGATGTTTGCAAGTTTTGTTCCAAATTCCTATTGGGGAAAGTTATTCTTATAACCTCTTACCTAATAAACCGCCTCCTTTCCAAAGTACTATAATTCCAAACTCCTTTAAGAACTCTCTAAGAAAAATTCGCTCACACATGAATCTTTAATTCCATTTCCCCTAAAGTCTTTGGTTGTACTTGTATTTATCCATAATAACTATCTTAATCGAAGTAAATATGATCCTAAAGCCCTTAAGTGTGTGTTTAATGGATACTCCTCTATACAAAAAGTGGTACGAGTGTTATTTTTCATTCTCTCAAAAGTTGTTTGTTTCCTGTGATATATCCTTTATCGAGGACCAACCCTTGTAACCCAATGCCTCTCTTCGAGGGAATACATCAAGTGAAGAAAGACATTGGGATCCCACTATCTCTCTTTCTATATCACTTCCAAACCCTCACTCATACTTATAACCGGAAAATGAATCTAATGAACTCGAACCTAAGCACCTTCAATTCCATATGACCAACTAAGGGGAGAATTTGTTTTTGAAAAATTGATTCAAGTTTGTTCCGGAAGACCAAAAGCTTCTCAATAAGGCCAAGAATTGAATCCGGAGCCAAGTCCATTATGTGAAACCATAAATGAAGATTCTACTATGATGGATGACTTGGATGTTTCGATAACTCTTCGGAAGGGGTAAGACCATGTGTTAAGTATCTTATTTCTAATTACTTAACATATTCAAAATTATCCCCTCAATTCGGGGCATTCACTACAAGAATTGATAGTGTAGATGTTCCTAAATACATTCAAAACACCTTACAAGACTCAAGATGAAAAGCAACGAGTATTAGCAAAGATGAATTCATTGATCAAAAATGACATTTGAGACATTATGAAGTCGTTAGAAAATAAGAAATTGGTCCGATGTAAGTGGGTTTTCACCGTTAAGTACAAATCGGATGGGAATATTGAAAGGTATAATGCTAGATTGGTGGCCCAAGGTTTCACACAAACCTATGGCCTAGACTACAAAGAGACCTTCGCCCCTTTTGCTAAGATGAAATCCATTAGAGTTCTACTATCCATTACCGCCAACCCGGATTAGGAGCTTTACCAATCGGACGTGAAGAATGCATTTTTGAATGGAGAATTTGACGAGGAGATATATATGAAAATACCTCATGGTTTTAAGACAAAAGAAAAAAAAAGTGTGTAAACCGAAGAAATCCCTATATGGCCTAAAACAATTCCCAAGGTATGGTTTAATAGATTCAACACTACACTCATTCGACTTGGTTATAGCCAAGGATAAGCAGACCATACATTATTCACAAAACATATAGAGAATGAGAAAGAGTCAATCTTAATTGTCTATATAGATGACATTATAATAACAGGAGATGATAGTTAAGAAATAGAGGATCTCAAGAAGAAATTAAGAGCCGAGTTTGAAATTAAAGATCTAGAACATCGAGATATTTTCTAGGAATGGAAGTAGCTAGGAGTAAAGAGGTTATTTTCATTTCTCAAAGAAAATACATTCTTGATCTCCTAAAAGAAACAAGAAAGCTTGGAACTAGAATATCAAGGACATTATTGGAGAAGAATTGGAAGTGGAAAGAAACTAAAAATGATCCAATTGTGGATAAAGGGAGATATCGGAGATTGGTAGGAAGACTTATTTATTTATCTCTTATTCGACCAAAAATTACTTATGCTATAAGTGTGGTAAGCCAATTTATGCATTCACCCACTTAAAGAAACTTAAATTCTATAACCTATATCCTAAGGTATATAAATGGAACACTAGGGAAAGGCCTATGTTTCGAAAGAATGAAGATAAGTGGAATTGAGAGTTTTACGGACGCATGATTAGGCGAGCTTTGTTGAAGATAACGGATCCACCTCCGGGTATTATACTAATTTATAGGGTAATCTAGTTACTTAGAGAAGTAAAAAGCAAAGTGTGGTAGCTCGTAGCAATGTAGAAGCAGAGTATAGAGCCATTGCTCAAGGAATTTATGAGGTGATTTGGTTAGACAGATTGATGAAGGATTTAAAAATCCATTTATCCACCCTAACAAGATTATATAGTGACGAGCAAATCTACCATCAACATTGTTAATAATCCAAGTACGAGTATGATCGAATGAAACATGTACGGATCGATCGAATTTTTATCAAAAGAGAGATTGAAGATGGAGTTATCAACTTGTCATACGTTCCTCCAAGATCTCAATAAGCTAATGTTCTTACTAAAGCTATGCCTAGACCAGACATTTGAATCAATTATTAACAAGTTTGGAATGATAGATATCTATTCACTAGCTTGAGTGGGAGTCTTGGAAGCTTAGAAGGAAAAAAAACCCGCATTTATTGGGATTGATATCGGATTGATCTTAGGAAATCATTCCTAAGATCGGGGATATCGATTTATTTTAGGAATTTCCTAAAATAAATCTAATGTAATGTAGGATGTAATTAAGGAATATTGCTATGTGTAGTGATTTAATTTAGGAATACTCTTGTATATATATCCTAGTGATTTATGATGAGAGTAGAGTGAATTTTCCTCCAAATCACTTCTCATTTGATAAGCACATAATGATTTCGTTGCTTTTTGTGTGAGTGTTTGAGCTGCGTAGATTATCGGTATAGACCAAATACTTAGATGATTAATTTCCGTAAAGTTCGAATTCTACATTACAAGAGATGATTGGTTATTATTATCTTGCTATATTTATATAATTATTTAATTCAATAGTATCATCCTAAAAACTTTAGATGGAGGAAAACAAAAAAATTTGTTTATTCCTCACCTCTATATGATGCATGATCCTTCACTTGTTAAAAGTCTATCTTTTCTTAGTTTCGAAGGAAGCTCTAGCATCAATGTCATTAGATTGATTGACTAGGCTTAATAAGCTTGTCGGGGTTTAATAAGTTGGGTTTGGCTTCGCTCGAGAATTTATTGAAGAACTCGATAGGCTATATCAATCTTTTTCATCAAATTTATTAGATACATCCCTAAAATAAATTTAGATATAACACTTCTCTAACAAAATTATCTTAGCTCTTTCCTTGTGTGAGATATTTTCACTTGAGTATTTTAATTAAAAATATTTTATTAGTTTCCCTCTCCTTAAATGCATATTAATCCAACTTTTGAAAATAATACCCAACCAACAAAAACAAATATATACTTCCTTAAATCATTAAAGAAAAAAATGTAAATTAATGATTGATTTTTCTTGATCATTAACATCTAAAATTATCTTGCCTCTGCCTTGTAATGCACAACTATTGCTTTTTTTCCTCGTTAAAATTTTCATATTATATACTACCTCTTTTACTTTTACTATTTACCATTAAAAAACAGAAAAATTAATAATATATTGGAAAACACGAAATTAATGAAAGAGCGGAGTTATAAATTAATTTAAGAATATCGAGTTTTAATATACAGTTTTGAAAGAACTAATTAACTATTATTATTATTATTGTTATTATAGGGATTAATAAATGTGATAAACTATAGGGAGTGTTTCGTTTTATAGGTTCGCCGGAATCTGTCGCTTTGGCTTGGATAAGATGTTACTTTATCTATAGCCATGTGGGAAGCATTTATTGGTTGTATATGATCCTAGGTGGCAGATTCGTCAAATCACCAAAATGTAAAAAATCTTCCGATGTGGCAAAGAAGAGGGTCCTACGGAACCTTTGTTTAGCCAACGGCAACATAGAAATGGATATGTGGATATGTCACCGAGATAAAGGGATAAGCCCCGACTGCTCTCATTGGACAATCCAAACGCACAATGACATCTCCATCGTCGGATCAACATAATCAGCGACATCAACCGTCAATTCTTAACAAAGAATAAGAACCACATGTGTTGATCTGGAATGAAAATGAAGTACAAAGGCAAGCCGTAATAAACATCATATGTTTTAGATTACAAAACTAATCAAGCCCCTCCTCTGTCTTCGCCCGGAACTCAAGTGGAAAGGATTATTAAAAAAAAAAAGAAAAAAAAAGCAGCAACTGCATCAAAAAAGAAAGAAAAGAAAAACGAATGGCCACCGTCTCAACACAAGCTTCTGCTGCCGTTTTCCGGCCATGTGCGTCTAAGTCGAGGTTTCTCGCTGGGTCTCCTGGTAAACTGAACAGAGAATTGTCGATCAAACCAATTACATCGTCATCTGCTACTTTCAAGGTTGAAGCCAAGAAAGGAGAATGGTTACCGGGTTTGCCTTCTCCAGGTTATCTTAATGGCAGGTGAAAAAGAAAACTGTTTCAATAGTTTTTCTTTTAATTAGTGGTCTCAATTAGCTTTGACTGAAACTTTTTCTTGTATTCAGCCTTCCAGGTGATAATGGCTTTGACCCACTTGGGCTTGCTGAGGACCCTGAGAACTTGAGATGGTACGTTCAGGCTGAGCTTGTGAATGGTCGTTGGGCCATGTTGGGCGTTGTAGGAATGCTATTGCCAGAAGTTTTGACAAAGATTGGAATCATTAATGCTCCTCAATGGTATGATGCTGGCAAAGCAGAATACTTCGCTTCATCATCAACCCTCTTTGTGATTGAGTTCATATTGTTCCATTACGTGGAGATTAGAAGGTGGCAAGATATTAAGAACCCAGGATGTGTTAACCAAGACCCCATCTTTAAACAATACAGCTTGCCTCCACATGAATGTGGGTACCCTGGGAGCATTTTCAACCCCCTTAACTTTGCACCCACTCTTGAGGCCAAAGAAAAAGAGCTTGCCAATGGTGATTATCCAAAAACCTGGTCGATTGAGCTTTTACATTTTTATGCCTTTTTTTTTTTTTTTTTGGGTAATATAGATGCTGTTGTTAGGCTGACCTAATATTGTCTGATTTATGCGGTGCAGGGAGATTGGCAATGCTGGCTTTCTTAGGATTTGTGATTCAACACAATGTGACTGGCAAAGGACCATTCGAGAACCTCTTGCAGCACCTCTCAGACCCGTGGCACAACACCATTGTCCAAACATTTAGCAGCAACTAAATTTATTGGAGATGATTTGGAGTCATATTGTCTGTTTCTTTATATGGTCGAGTGAAATTTGCGTATCAATGAAAAACAAGTAAACTTCATTGTACAGGGGAACAGGTGGCACTATGATTCATATGTATCCATCTTTTACTTTATTGTTGTTGTTATATATATATATATGTGTGTGTGTTAGATAAGTAAAATGATTGTATATTAAATATAAAACATTTCCTTAAATAATTAACTCTAAGACAATCCATAATTAACTCTTAACAGGTGGCCTCAACTTTGTTGGTTTGTGTGATTTAATTTACTTCGGTGATATTTAATTGTGTTTCCACATCAGCTTTGCCTTTGTAGGATGTTTACAAGAGCTCATCCCTTTTAGTTTTAGAGCATGCATGTTTTATATGATCACTTGGATCTCATGTTTGGCAACGCTTTGACCTCTCAGAGGCTCATGTCAGTTTGTTTTGGTTTTGTACTTCAAAGACTCTTTGTACTTTCATATCAAACTTTCGGTTTTAGGGATCTAAGTTCTCATATAAATAATGATTTCATCTAGAATGGTCTGCAACAAATAAAGATATGGAATTCGAGCGTGATTCTCAAACTTCCTAATTAGAGATTTAATAATAAGACCCACCTAATTATAGGACTTTAGATAACTCAGACATAAAAGAATTTAGTAAATGAAAATCTCCTAATTTAAATTGATAAAAACTCTCGACGAGTGTGACTTTTATTCTTTTCACTGCTTTTTTTTTGTTCACAAAATGATGTCATATTTTGCTTACTTAAAACTGTTATATTGCAATCCGAATCGACATGGCTTTTTCAAAACATAGTTGATTGAATTTATTTTTAAAGTCAATCAAGTGTTGAAATAAAACATGTACCACGTTAATCATTAATAACTACACACAAGACCGCAATAAATTCTCTCTATTACACTGTATTGGATTCGCATTGTGTGTATATATATATATATATATACACTGTTATGAAATAATGAATGATCATCATTATGTTCATCTATTTTTCATATCCTCATTATTCATCATTCTTAATATGATTCAATTCATCATTCAATATGAGAAATTGAAAGGGCGATGCAATTGATTATTTATAGTCATTTTCAATTTTCTTGTCAAATTTGAAGCCTATAAATAGGCTTGATTGTTTATTAGTTGATGTATAAGTTTTCAGAGAGAATAAGAGAAACTTTGAAGTTCTTATCACTTGTATTCACATTATAGTGATTTCATTTTTTTGTCATTCATTCCTTCAATTCTCCTCTTATTTCTATTTCTTTTATAACACGTTATCGACACGAAGCTCTAACCAATCGAAACAATAGATTATAAGATATGTATCTATCAAAAGACTTAATCATTTGTTTCAACTATTGGATTTCTTCTACACAAGTGCTCTACCAAAAGATATAAATTATTTAGATTATTAAGAGGTATGTATCTAATTTTTCATGTACTTTAAATCTAATGATAGATAGAATATATACTTGAAAAATTTTAATGATTTAATATATATAATCTAATAATCTAATATATATTATTTAAAAATTTTAAGTTTTATTATTATGTTTATTTTTATTTAAATTTTATTATTACATTTTGTCTTTGTTTTCTAACATTATTATTATACTTTGCAATATATAATTTTAATGATATCATATCAACTATCACAAAACTTGATTTTATGGCCCTTGACATTGTGGGCAAGAATTATTGATCATGAGTACTTGATGCTAAGTTAATATCATCTACTTTTGATATCTCAAATATGCTCCTGTAGTAGCATATCGAGAAAAAAAGTTTAAAAAATATTTCGAATCAATTTTATACTTGTTAGTGGCTAAATAAAATGAAAAGCTATTGATGAAAAAGAAAAAATCACATCCAATTGGATCTACTCCATTCCCTAAAGTGAATGTGACAATTTATAATAATTTTAGACATGGACGAAGATGTGGTCATAGCCATGGACGTAGTCAAAATAATTATCATTATAATCGTGATGACTATAATATTAAATCTCACAATCGAAGTGGATAATCATGAAAAAAAAGAAATAAAAATAGATAAAGTCGGTATTCGAAAAATAAATATTATAGATATAAAATGAATGAATATTGATCGTGTATCCGTCGTACACCAAAGCATCTCATTAAGCCTTGTCAAGTTTTATTGAAAAATAAAGAGTAAAATATGAATGTGACTTTTACATATCAAAATAATAGTAATTGAAATTACTAACTTGTTAGTTTTTCTATTTATAAATAAAATATTTTATATGTCTTATAATTTATATCGTATAGTGATAGTTACAAATTTATTTACTATTTATTTATTTATTTATTTGTGCTTATGAGGAATATATATATCTATTTATTTTATATTAATTTATTTGATTATTTATTTTATGTTAATATTATATATGATAATATCAATCTAATAAAAAGCTCTAGAAGAGTGACTATATTATTATTTAAAGTGATATATTTTGAAAGCTCTAGAAGAGCGATTATATTATGACTTGAAGAGATAAATTTTGAAGCTCTAGAAGAGTGAATATATTATTACTTGAAGATACAACTTTTAAAGGCTCTAGAAGAGTCGATATATTATTAATTGAAGTAATTAATTTAAGGCTCCAAAAGAGCAAATATGTTATTATCCGAAAGGATAAATTTTATTATAAATGAAGTACTATTCTTTTCAAAGTCTTATAAAAATTTATTGAGTTTCAAAGATATTCATCTAAATTGATACTATATCAATATAGCAAATATGAATACTCATATATTATAATCATTATACCGGGTAGAAAATATGTATTGAAAAATTTACCCAATTTCTCTTCTAATCTTTGTTACAAACATTAAAATGATTGAAACAAATGATATAATAAACCGAAGTTTACTAATTCAAATACTTTTATCATGTAGCACGACTAGTCGTGTTATATTGGGTCTTTCATGATACAAAAAATTATTAAAAATTTATATGGACATCTATCGAAGAGCTAGAAGATTCTTCAATTTAATGAATTTTCATGTTTTGTATGTTTTTAAGGCAAATTGATTATTAAGCCATCACCAAGTAAAATTGAGATTGAATCTCCATTATTTTTAGAATGTATTCAAGGTGATATATGTGAATCAATTCATCCACCATGTGGATCATTTAAATATTTTATGATTTTAATAAATACATCCACAAGATGGTCACATATATGCTTATTATCTACTCGAAACCTTACGTTTTCGAGATTGTTAGTAAATAATTTGATTTCGAGCATAATTTTCAGATTACGCCATTAAAACAAGTCACCTTGATAATACCGGTGAATTTATTTCTGAAATATTAAATTATTATTGATTGGCTATTAGAATAAAGGTTGAATTGGTCGTTGCTCATTTCATACTCAAAAAAGTTTAGCAAAAATCATTTATCAAAAGGCTTTAATTGATAGCTAAATCATTATTTAAAAATAAAACTCCCCGTTTATGTCTACGGATATGCAATCTTACATGCAACAATAATTATTCGCATCGAGTTATCAAAAATTCTCTCATCTTTAATCAATTTATGATCATGAGCTAAATATTTCTTATTTAAGAATTTTTTAGCATTGTAGTGTTCTTTTTGATGTAGTGCTCATTCACAATGAAATAAAATGGGCACTTAAAGGAGATTGAGAATATATGTTGGATTTGAATCCTTTTCGATAATTAAATATCTTGAATTATGAATAAATGATATTTTTACGAGCTTGATTTATCAACTATCATTTTGATAAAATAGTTTTTTCAACATTAGGAGGAGAGAATAAGCATAATAAGCAATTAAAAGTGTTGAAAAAAAGAGATTACAAAGAGTACTCTATCTTTATATCAATTTTGTACAAAACAATGTGAACTAAAAGTTCAGAAGATAATTCATTTACAAGATATTACAAACCAACTCCTAGATGCATTTTCATATCCTAAAAGAGTAACTAAAATACATGTCCTCATTGAGAATGCTTCTATTAGAATTAATGTCCTAGAGGGACGATCTATTAATGATATAGCTAATGAATTTAAAACACTCCTAAAGCGTGGAAGACCGATCGATTCTAAATATAAAAATTCCTAAAAGAAAAAGGCAAAAAGAAAATATAAAGGATGTAAATATTTATAAAACGGTCCAAGATATTTCGATAATAGGCTTTCGAAGAAGTCCAAATGCTTGAGAAAAATCAAGAGATTTTGATAAATTATGTCAATACAGGGAGAAAATAGGACTCGAAAGAAACATCTATTGATTAGAGTTTTGCATATAATATTGTAATTAATATTTTCAATGAAAATAAGGATCCTAAGCCTAAATTATTAGAGAATGTCGACATAGAGATAATTGACCTAAATGAAAAGAGTAATCTGGCGAATTATATTCTTTTATAAAAGAGTAGTTTTTCGAACCCATAGCTAAAACACCCGAAGATGTTAAACTAGTGGGATATAAATAAGCATTTTTATGAAAACAAAATAAGAAAGATGAGATTATGAGATACAAAGCAATATTTGTAACACAAGAGTTTTTGCAAAGAACTGACATTTATTATTAGGAGACATATTCTCTTATAATGGATGAAATTGTCTTTTATCATCACATTAGCTTGGTAAACTATATGAAAAACATTCATATGCGTGCATTTACTAAATGTGATTACGGTTTATTTATTCGAGTTGAAATGATATCAATATGAAAGTCCTAGAAAGACTTAACATGCCCGAATCATGTAATATATATTCTCGAGAAAAAAATTCAATTAAATTATAGAGATCTCTATTAGGATTATTAGTATTTTTTTTATTATTTTATTTTTTAAAAATTCAATTCATATTGTACTTTTTTATATTATATTTTAATATTTACTCGTTTATTACTAATCTCGTGTGCATGTGATATAATAACTTCAATGATTATTGAAAGAAAGTTATAAAA